GTGATCTTATAATATTATTTGACTATATCTTCCAAAAAAATCAAGTATGTAAAATAAAAAACATTAATGTACTCGTGTATTTTATAAAATTCTTATTATATCTAAAGTTATTAAGTGATCTAAATTTTACGCAAATGGATTCCGCTTGAATTCACAAGTATATAATTGCTTATGGTTCTTTTGAATTTAAAAGAGAAAATTGCATCAGTAATTTCTCACATATTATTGATGTGAAATTTTGGTCACTTAGAATCAAAGCAAGCGATTTTGGTCCCTAACAAATAAAAAGGCTCACTTTTGGTTTTTGGTTAACTTTCCGGTGGAATTTTTACCAGATGTTTGGTCCCTTATTTGCCAATTATTGGGTTCAAATTTCTCATGAGTCTTGATCTTTAGGATCCTATAAATCATTAGATGTAATTTGGCTGTAACTTTATTTGAATCTTATGGAGAAAATAGAGTTGGAAATTTGGAGTTTGGGATTTCTCATTTGGTCCTTTGATTTGTGTTTATATGGTGATTTCAGTTTGATTTGGAGTTTGGGACATATTTGAAATGATTTAAAAACTTGATTGACGCCAAAATCAAGTTGTAAAATTTGTCAAAATAACTTTCTAACGAGTTAGGTCAAAACACCTACAAAACCTAGCAGGAAAGATGACGGGATTTGATAGAATCCGGCTAAAATTTAACTAAAAAGTTGACCAAGGACTATATTTGTTAAAGGCTAAAATAACTCATTTCGATTTTCAAGGGCTAAAATTTCATTTTAGTAATGTGTGAAGAACAATTAGTGGAATTTTTCCAATTTAAAATGATACAAAAGTCTAGCATGAATCTTCTTCAAAAGTCAGAAGTCGTCTCTGGGTTTGTTGACTCCCTCTGTGGTCCTCACACGTAAACTTCTGATATTTACTAGGATGCAAACAAACAATGAACTTGAGCATCTGCATTTCTTAAGTGTCAAAACCTTTATGCACATTCTATAATTTTTAATGTCTTTTCTTTTTGTAACAATCGTTTTTTGAATAAAATGGGATTCGGGGTCCTAATTAGGAAGTAGTCGTATTATATGCATACAATACATGTTTGTATGTATAAGTTTGAAAAAAAATTTTCAATTCTTATATTTCAAAAATGTTATATAAAATACTCGTACATTCTATATAACCTTATAAAACACTTAATAAATTTTTGACGTATTATACTCCATAATTATGTTTCAATTTTTTTCTTGGAAAAACTGTTATATATCTACAACATGATGACATATCGTTCCAATTATATAAAAAAATGTAGCATCCATGCATATTATAATTTCTATGGATTTATACATCTCAGCACAATAAAGTGATAAATTCTAATAAATTTAATATTTGATGCACAAGAAAAGAGTTGAAAGTGGTATCAATGAATCATAACTTTTGAAAATTGAAGTAATTTTATCCATTTTTTTAGTTCTGTAAATTTTAAATGTATTCGTACTATCCACACGTATGATTTTATATGCATAATTTTACCAAAGTCATACATGTGTACCGAAGTTTTAATCATTTTTTAATTTGTATAATACAAAACATATTATATTTCATACTATATTCGTCTTATTAACATATATAGTAAATGTGTGAATGCAATTGTCCCAGTTGAACCCAATTGCTGACGTGGCGCTCTCCCATTGGCTGATTGGTGGTAGTCCTCCAATTGATTCCAATTTGGTGAGTTGTCGTCCTCTGATTCGTCGATTGGTGGTAGTCCTCCCAATTGCATATTAAATTGATGATGTGTCGAGTTTTGATTGGATGAAAAGTAATAGTCCTCTAATTGCATGTAGGATTGTGCTAAAATTTTGCTTCTTACTTTTTTATCCAACAAATCACATTAACAAAAAAATTGGATTCCTTTTTTTCTTTGTTGTCCGTCAAATCACATATAATTACCAATTCTTTGCAATTAATTGTTAATTATTAACATATATAGTAAATGTGTGAATGCAATTGTCCCAGTTGAACCCAATTGCTGACGTGGCGCTCTCCCATTGGCTGATTGGTGGTAGTCCTCCAATTGATTCCAATTTGGTGAGTTGTCGTCCTCTGATTCGTCGATTGGTGGTAGTCCTCCCAATTGCATATTAAATTGATGATGTGTCGAGTTTTGATTGGATGAAAAGTAATAGTCCTCTAATTGCATGTAGGATTGTGCTAAAATTTTGCTTCTTACTTTTTTATCCAACAAATCACATTAACAAAAAAATTGGATTCCTTTTTTTCTTTGTTGTCCGTCAAATCACATATAATTACCAATTCTTTGCAATTAATTGTTAATAACTAATTTAATGTCATGTTTCTTGTCATTCAACAGATCGCGCTTGATGAGTTGGGTCGTGTTTAATTACCGACTCCTTCAGTTATTACCAAAAAATATATATATTTTAGGGCAAACCAAATAATAATTATCATTCTTTACCGTTGATTGTTAGCAATTATTTATTGCTTTTCGTTGGCCTTTTTTAGTCTTCCGCCAAATTGCATATATTTACTGATACTTTGCAATTCATTGTTGCTGGCTGCTTAATAATGGTTTTTCCCTTGCTGTCCAATGGATCGCGTCTAATTAGCGATTTCTTGCAGTTGTTAGGCAAAAAAAAAGGGACATTTTTTCGCAAAAAAAATATATTTATCAACTGTTTTATTTTATGGATGTTATAAAAAAAAAATGCCCTGTTTGCTGTTAATGTTTCGTTAGTTAATTAATACTTCAATTTTTTTCCCCGGTTAATGGTTTGCTGGTTTTTTAGCTTATTTTTTTATGCTCCAGCGGATTGTATGAGCAAAAAGTGTCATTTTTTTCCTCCTCCACCAAACTGCATGTATTTACTGGCGCTTTGCGCTTAATAGTGCCTTTTTTTGGTCAGCCAATAAATCGTGTTTAATTAGTGCTCCCTTGCAGCTGTTAGCCAAAAAAAACCATTTTTGTTCCAAAAATAAAAACAAATTTAATCTGTTTTTTTTATTTTCTTTTATCAAATAGATGCTTTTTTGCCATTAATGCTTCGTTGGTTAATTAATAATTTCGTTTTTTCCCCTTTGATGATTCGTTGTTTATTTGGCCGCTCTTCTTTTTTTGCTCCAGTGGATCGTCTTAACAAAAAAAATGACCATTTTTTTTCCACCAAATTGTATCTATTTACCAATACGCTACAATTAATTGTTAATAGCTATTTAATAATGTCTTGCTTTTTATTGTTCATCTAATGGATCGTGTTTAATTACCGGTTCCTTTAGTTATTAGGAAAAAAAAATATTTTTGCCAAAACAAATAATAATTATCATTTTTTAACGTTGATTGTTAACAATTATTTATTGCCTGATCTGACCCAATATATTTGGGTTAGCAAAAAAGTGCCTTTTTTCCTACTTACATTCATATTTACCTATCAATTTATCTCTGTTAATTGTTGCCTTTTCCTCGTCACTTTTTTTTTTTGTTATTGTTAATGATTACTTAATTAGTTGGCTTGCATTTTAGCTGTTCAAAATAAAATTTGCCTCTCTATTAGTATTTTTTCCTTGAACAAAATCTTTTTTTTCGTATATTTGTCTAAAAAGTTGCACTTTCCGTTGCTGGCATCGATTTTTGCAATCTACTTTCTGCGCATCTTAATCGAATACATCCTCAGCCATCACTTCTGATTACTTCCATTTGGTGGAGAGTTGTATTTGATGGGAAAGTTGGTACCTGTATTTTACTAAACTACCCAGCCTTTATCTTTCCGTTTGCTCAATTTCTCTTTTTTCCTTATTTCCTGCTCATGGACATATTTGTAAAAATGAAGCGACCGTCATTGTTGCCTTCTGCCAAACATCACCTTTTAGCCTTGCTCTGTTCAGGGATAATCCGGTGTTTTCCCTTTGTACAATGGTTGTTACCATTACCTGGTTTGTTCTAGCAGAACCTCGGCGGCTTACCATCATGATCGGCGGTAGATCTACAGCTGCTGCATCCTCCCTTCTAATCCCTTTCGGCTGCTTTTTTTCTAGACAGCATAGAGGTTAGCTATCAACTTCCTTCTTCTCTTGCTCTTGCTTCTTTTTGCCTTTTTCATTACTAATTTCCTGACTTTGTTTCAGCTTGCAAAGTTGCTATCTCTGCTGTTTTGCTGGTGAGTGCCTTGCTCCAAGAACGTTTAACTTAGTCCCTCTGCATCTGTTGAGCTTTTTTTTTACAAAAAAATAATTACTTTCTTTTTTTCCCTTGTTGCTTTGTCATTTTACTTAGTTATTGCCTTCTTTTCCCAGCAACGGTTTCTTTCTTTTCTTGCGCACTAGCTTAATGCCTTTAAGTTTTTCATTGCACTCGGTCTATTAGCACGGGCTTATTTTTCCTTGTTCTGTTTCTTTTTGCTATTAGCTATTGTATGCTCGATTTTATCGTGGTACCGCCTGCTTTTCTCTGATTCTGCTCCGAAGCTTTTTTTGCAGCCAGACAGGTTAGTGTTTCTGGTTCTCCTCTCTTTCCTATTTCTTTTATATTTTGCTATCTATATTCCGTCTCTATCACTTGTATTTTCTGCTATGTGGTTGGCTGCATCTTCTTAGAGCCTCACTTCTTTGACTTGAATTGCGGGAGCTTATTTACTACTTCCCGAAACTTTTGGATGACTTTGCTGGGTTAACAAGGAGCTTTTCAACTCCTGTTCCTGTACTGTTACTGCTAAAGGATGGAAATTATAGACAGCCTTGCATTTCATGCTGAACTACTTTTTGTTACTTATTTTATGTGTCCATTTCGTTTGTTTGCTGCTTATTTCCTAGCTGTTGGATTTCTTATCTTCCTGCTCGTTGCTTGCTTATTAATTTTAGCTTGGACATTTACAGACCTGTTTCCTTTTTTTGTGTTTTTATTTGTTCAATCTTGCCTTTCTATATATAGTCCCTGTGCGCTTTACCCAATTAGAGTGAATGGGTAAAAGTTCTGCTCGCCGCAAAAGGTACGCAGAAATGCCGGACATAGAAAAAAAAGAACTTTTGCGTCGTCGAAGAGAAGATAGGGCTGCCAAAAAAAAAGAAGAACGTCCTCTCTCGCGTATTCGCAAGGTTCCGCTTGGTTATGTGGAAACAGGTGTTTCTTTCCCTGAGGCACTCAGTGTCCCGACCAATTGTAGAAAGCAACCTGTTATGCATGGCCAGATGCTAAAAAGTGGGAGTTTTAAAGACGACCATGATAGCATCGGTGTTATTGCTGAAGCGTTACAGTACATGTCATCTCGTGAGTCTGCTTCCTTTAGTCTTCATAGCCATTCTGCTTCCTCTTCTAAGGAAATGCATCCTGCACCAGCAAGGGGTGTACTAGGAGGTGTCAACCTAGAACATCCACTCACTGATACGGCTAATCTTAGGAGCTGTCACCCTACATCCCTCCAAGGAAAACGAAAAAGTTCAGCCTCCTGTTCTTTTACGGCTACGCCTGATCTGCATCTTTTTAACAAAAAAAATAAGAACTCTGCCTTTGTATCAGGGATAGATGAACTAACAAACTTTCTGGAAGCTCCTTACTGTGACAAAGAGATCCTGCCTATGAACAATCTTTTTGAAAATGTGATTCAATATTGTCCTATAACTGATTTTCCCATGAATTCTAAAAAGGTATATTCTCCTCTTCATGAGTGCCCAAGTCTTGGAACAAAAACTGCTTGCTCTGAACCTTTTTTGCTGCCTGACCAAACAAGCAGCTTTCCTCTTCTATTTGATAAATCCATACGTCCATTTTCCACTGAGAAACAAGTTTTACCTGATAATGGACTTTTTGAAAATGTTGTTAAGTTCTCTCCTTTGTCTAATCCTTATATGGACTTTGGAAAAAACCAGCCTGTCTTGAATGATATCCATAGAGAACTATATCTGCAAAGAGAGACATCTGTCTCTCAAAAACAATCTTCTGCATCAGCAGCAACTTCTCAAGGTATATATTCCTTTGCCTTTTTCCATGTGATTGCAGATACTTCTTTGGCTGCCCTGCCCACTTAGATTCCCTGCAAAAAATATATATTTTCCGGTTCTACTTGGCTGGAACTTTCATTATTTGGTCCCTCTGCTGACTGTACGCAGCCAGATGCCTCTAAACTTTTAGAATCAGCTCTTTTCTTTATATAGTTGCAGAAACTTCTTCTGTTCAAGATAGAGAGTCTAACAAGCCTGCCAAAAAAAAAACGTGTTCAAGGGAAAAAGGGTCACCGTCGTAGTTCTTCTGCTCTCCGATCTAGAAAGCAGCCTTCTGGTCAAGCTCGTAATTCTCATGAACATGTCAGGAAGCAGGCTCCGGGTTAGCTTTTTAATTCTCCTTCACTTTCTATAGCTTACCAGGCTATGCTGCTAAGTTGATTACCTAAGATGCCGATACTTAGTGCCTTTCTCAGCTATAGTTTGTAATTAAATGCAGCGAGGCCTCGCAGAGGTCGCCAACAGGGTCTTTTTCAGCTTGATGAGATCCCTCATGAAGCCATTACCCTTCCGGATGTTCCTAACTGTCACCACTGTGGAGCTAAGAGGTTCTATTTAGAACCTCCTAGCTTTTGTTGCTCTGGCGGAGAGATCTCTTTAGTTATTCCAGCAATGCCTTATGATCTTAAGCGCTTGTTTATCGGAAATGACGAAGAAAGCGCACACTTTAGGAATAATGTTCGAACCTATAATAATAACTTGGGCTTTACATCCTTTGCTGCGAGGTATGACCCAGAATTGACCAAAAATACGAAAGGTGTTTATACCTTTCGTATTCAAGGCCAAGTCTATCACTTCCTCAATGGTTTGACGCAGCCAGCTGACAAACCATCAGGAATTCAGTTCTACTTCTTTGACACTGATGAAGAATTAGCAAAAAGAACTGGAGCCTGTGAAAAGTTGCGTGAAAGCACTTTAAAATTCCTTATGCGCATCCTTTTGAATAATCCTTACACCAAATTCTTTAAAAGCCTCAGGGATATACCAAACCTTGACAACTATAAAATCATCCTTAACTGTTACCCTGGTTTAGACCAACGTGTCTATAACCTGCCATCCACCTCACAAGTTGCTGCCATATGGACTGAAGATGAAAATGAAACAGTAGACAGGAGTGCTCATATTCAGGTCTATACTCACTCACATACCAGTCATAGGATTAATCATTACTACGGCTGTTATGACCCTCTACAATATCCTATTCTTTTTCCTCGAGGTGAATGTGGATGGCACCATGGTATTAAAAGACTATATAAGAGGAAAAGAAATGGGGACTCCTGTGAGGACGATTCTAACGTTGATCCTTCTTCTGTTAATGACCCTTCGCACTTAATGGACTTGGAACGCAGAGGCAAGTATATCACTTACTGCTTCTGCACTATTAAATATTAAACTTAGAACAGCTTCTTCATCGACCGAATATTTGTATCTTATATAGCTGTCGATCGAGCGAAGAACGAGGGAGACACGGTATCAGCTAGAGAGTATTATTGCTACAGATTTCAGATAAGGGATGATGATGAATCGATGCTATTGCACTGCCTTAGGCTTCTACAGCAATTTTCTGTTGATTCTTATGTGAAGATAGAAACTTCGAGGTTGGACTTCCATAGGCATCAACAAACTGTGATAAGATCGGAGATCCTCCAAGGAGTCTTGGACAGTGTTTCTATAGGCCAGTCTGAAGGGTCTAAAGTCGGTCGTAGGATAGTTCTTCCATCCTCTTTTATCGGCGGCCCGAGAGACATGAGGCGCCGGTATCTTGATGCAATGGCGCTCGTTCAGAAATATGGTAAACCTGATATTTTCCTTACCATGACCTGCAATCCAGCATGGAAGGAAATTCAGGACAATCTAAAGTATCATGAGAAGCCGCAAGATAGACCGGATCTTCTAGCCAGAGTTTTTAGAGCTAAATTTGAGATGCTCAAGTCTGAAATTTTGAATAAGCAGATTTTTGGTGAGGTCGCAGCATGTGTCTATGTTATTGAGTTTCAAAAGCGTGGCTTTCCCCATGCTCATTTACTCTTGATCTTAAAACCTCAGTCCAAGCTGCTTAATCCTGAATCTTATGATAAGGTTGTCTGTGCAGAGTTACCTGATCGTGCTCGTTACCCTCACCTATACAATCTTGTTGTCAAGCATATGATCCACGGCCCTTGCGGGGATATGGATAAAACTTGCCCTTGTATGAGAGACGGTTCATGCAAAAGTCGTTATCCCAAAGATTTTTGTTCACAAACAACTCATGCTGAAGATGGTTACCCACATTATAGAAGAAGGGATGATGGTAGAAAAATAAAGGTCCGACGGTTTACTCTCGATAATAGGTGGGTTGTGCCTTACAACCCGTACCTCCTTGCTTTGTTTGATTGCCACATAAACGTCGAGATCTGTTCGACTATAAAGCTGGTGAAGTACTTGTACAAGTATGTGTTTAAAGGTCATGATCTGGTTTCTTTTAAGGTTGTAACTGATGCCGGTCCTCCTGATATCGATGAAATTACTGAGTTTCAAAAGGGTAGATATATTTCGCCTCCCGAGGCTTTTTGGCGCATCTATGAATTTCGTCTAAATGAGATGACTCCTTCTGTTTATACACTCCAAGTTCACCTTCCGAATCAGCAGTTTGTTTCCTTTGATAAAAACTCAGATCTCTTGCTATTATTAGCCAAGGCTGACTTTTCAAAAACCATGTTAACTGAGTTTTTCAAAATGAATGCAACAAATGCAGTGGCTGAAAATCTTAAATGTTTCTATAGGGATTTCCCTCAGCATTTCGTTTGGACTGCTAAGTATAGACACTGGACAGAAAGGAAACGTCGGAAAGTGATAGGTAGACTTGTTAGTGTTAGTCCAACAGAGGGAGAGTGATATTATCTACGCCTTCTCTTAACTCATGTTCCTGGACCGACATCATTCGATGATCTGTTAACTGTGAATAACAAAAAAATGAGTTCGTTCAGAGATGCTGCCTTTGCACTTGGTCTCTTACAATCTGATTCGTATATAGAAGAAACGCTTGAAGAGGCTGTTGCGTTTCAGATGCCATCTTCGCTCAGGCTCTTATTTGCCACTCTTCTGGTATATTGTTCTCCAACTAATCCCAAAATGTTATGGGAGAAGTTTGAACCAGATTTCTCTAGAGATTATGAAAGACATCAGCAATATCATCCCTGCTCTCCTGACGAAATTAGGAGACTTGTTCTGGCTGATATTAACAGATTGCTTGGCCAGATGGGTAAAAATATTAGTGACTACCAATTGGTGCCACCTAATCTCATGAGTTCATATAGCACGTCCCTGACGAAGGAAATTGAGTACGAGAGAAACATCAGCGTACCGTCAGAGGATATATTACTGTCTTCCAGATTAAATTCTGAACAGAAATATGCTTATGATTTAATCTTGCAAGCATGTTTCTCTTCGCATGGCCATCCTTTTTTTATTGATGGTCCGGGGGGTACCGGTAAAACTTTTTTGTACCGGTCGCTCCTCGCTACTTTGAGATCACAAGGTCATATCGCCATTGCAGTGGCGACATCTGGAATTGCAGCATCTATCCTACCTGGAGGAAGAACTGCACATTCAAGATTTAAAATACCTCTTGACTTCTCAAAGAGCAAAACTTGCCAGCTTAGCAAGCAAGGTAGCGTTGCGAAGTTGCTCTCTGAATCCAAATTGATCTTGTGGGATGAGGCTTCAATGGCCAGACGAGAAACTATTGAAGCATTTGATGATTTGCTGAGAGATATTATGGAATGTAACCTGCCTTTTGGGGGCAAAGTTGTCGTTTTTGGTGGGGATTTCCGACAAACACTGCCTGTAATTGAGCAATCAACAAAAGAGGTCCTTTTACAGTCCTGCTTTCTTAATTCCCCTTTATGGCCTCAACTTCATAAGCTAAAGCTGTCAGAAAATATGCGAGCTATATTAGATCCTCAGTTTTCTGAATTCTTATTAAGTGTGGGCGAAGGAAAGGAACCTGTTGACCTGAATGGTGAAATAACTCTCTCCACAGATTTAGTCATTCCTTATAACGATAAAGAAGAGTCGCTGAACAGGTTAAATAATTTACTACTATGCTGGTTTATCTGTCTGACTTTTTACCTATATAATTCCTAACTTAATTCCTCTATTAACAGGTTAATAAGTTGTGTTTTCCCGGATTTACCTCTCTATTCTCGAGACCCTTATAGTATGATCAATAGGTGTATTCTTGCTCCTAAAAACAGTTCAGTTGATGAGTTAAATGATATCCTAATTAGGAGATTTCCTGGAAAGCTGTATACTTACACTAGCACAGACAAAACTGTTGATCAGCGGCACCAAGGTGATTATGAAGATTTTCTCAATTCTCAAAATCCAAAAGGCCTTCCTCCTCACAAGTTAATGCTAAAGGAAAACTGTCCAATTATATTGATGAGGAATCTTAACCCGCTAGAGGGCCTTTGTAATGGTACTAGACTCGTATGTAGAGAACTTGGCCATCACACTATTTCTGCTGAAGTTGTTTTCGGCCAGCATCAAGGAAAAATTATCCTAATTCCAAAGATGCCTCTACAGACTCCTGATAATGAAAAGAATGGCGTTGCATTCATAAGAACGCAGTTTCCAGTCCGTCTTTGCTTTGCATTGACCATCAATAAGTCCCAAGGACAAACTCTCGACTATGTTGGCATTTATTTACGTGAACCTGTTTTTTCACATGGACAGCTCTATGTAGCTCTGTCCAGAGCCAAAACTTCATCTGCGTGCAAGATTCTCATTGTTCCGGGGACTTTTGATGGTACAAAAAAAGACTGCAAAACTAGAAATGTTGTATTCAATGAAGTATTTCAGTTCAGTTAGCTATATATCTTTCTTGCATTCAGGTATATCTGGATATCCCTATCCCTTAGTTTACTTATTAATGTTATTTCATCCGTATATCACTTTCCAGATTATACATTTTTTTGCTTCTTCTTTTTTCAGGATGGCTAACATGTTATCAATCAGAGATATCGCTCCTAATATGAAAAATTGGTGCTGTATTGTAACTGTTCAAGAAAAGCAACAAGTTACTGATTCAATGGGAACACCGACCAAGAAACAAAAAATGATCTTCTACGACTCCGAGGTTATATTTTAGAGCATATTTTCTAAGCATATCAGTTCTTCAATCTTACACTCGTTTTAATGGACTTTTTCAATTGATCTCCTTAACAGGGTTCTAGAGTAGAAGGCATCATTTTCAATGCTGATATACCTAAGATGAGTCCTGTTCTTCAAGTTTATCGAAAGTACAGGATCTCAAATGCTGATGTCAGAAGCATTCCACCAAAATTTCAGACCTCTGACTTGACTGTGCAATGGGTGATTACTGCTAAGACTGTTATTGAAGAAGTTAATAGGGAAGAAGACATCATGCCTGTTAAATTTACCTTCACAGAGTTTGCAGATTTAGCTCAATACATGGACGACAAAAGCAAGTCTGTAGGTAAGTTTTAGCTACCTTTGAAATGCGAGTTTGCCCTCATCAAACTGATTATTACTTTCCTGACCTATCTTTGTTGTCTCGTAGACGTTCTGGGAGTTGTAATCAGTTCATTAGAGAAGAAAACGATAACTAAGAACTCCAAACAGTCAAGTGTTCAGAAATTTGTCCTCCTTAATGAACAGTAAGCACCATCTTTTTATAATCCTATTACTGTTTTTGGCTAGCTCTATCTTCTTGTTTTTGTAACCATCTTTATTTCTTTGAATGTTGACTTATATGTCAATGTGAATACTAGGTCTCAAACAGTGATGCTATCTTTGTGGGATGACTTTTTGAACAATGAAGGACAGATTTTAGTGAATACCATTCAGGCCTATCCAGTTGTCATCGGGCGCAGATTAAAAGTTAACAACTACAATGGTTCGTTAAAATACTGTCCTTCTGTGTAATAACCTTTATTTACTTAATTTAAAGCTTGCCAGTGATGCCTGAAATCTTCCGCTGTTGTTTATTCTGTAGGAGTTTCACTCTCTACCTGGTTTGATTCTGCACTTCTTGTTGACCCACCCATACAGGAAGCAAGAGAATTGAAGAATTGGTTCAATGCCTATTTCTTTGCTTTTTTCATAAACACGCAATATGAGCTGTTCTCATTTTTTTTCCCCTTATTCTCTGATTTCATCATTCGCTGTGCAGGGCAATGAGAAATACTAAATTAATTGCAAGCCTGATTGAAACAAAGAGTTACATCAAATACAATCCTCAACTCTTTTTGAAAGCAGACCAAAAGAGTACTTTAATCTGTAATGTTTCTCTGTCACAGAAGGTGCTATGACGCTTTTCCTATTTAACCACTTTCCTTAAAATTAGTCATGCATATTTAGCTTCTGAACTTATATTTGGTTACTTTTAGACTACGCTGGTCAAGGCAAAAATCTCTTTTGAGCACATTTTCCAGAAATATTGGTATATGAGCTGTGCAAAATGCAACCGCGCTACTGCAGCAGACTACGGCATTGAGTTTACCTGCAATTCATGCAAGCAGAAGAGTCCTGCTGTGCCCAGGTGCTATATTATTAAATCCTCAGCATTAAATTTAGTAGCAAATTGTACCTAAATTCACCAGACTTCAATCCATTACCTAATACGGTACATGTTTACTTTTCAGATGTCGGTTCGACGTTGATTTAAGTGATGACAGCGGAGTTATACCAGCCTCAGTCTTTGGCGACCTGGCAGAGAAGCTTCTCACCTTCACCGCCCTTGAAGCAATGGATCATTTTAACCAGGTTATTTTAGCTTCATGTGGTTGTTAGTGAAAGCAGCAATCTACTCCCAATTGTCATTCCTTTTTGTTTTGTCTGTAGAACCACGAACTTCCACTCGAGTTTGCTCACAACAGCCTGAAAACAAAGACTTTTCTGCTCCATATTAAACCAATCCAGACTCAATTAGCGGATGCCAGGCAACGTTATACAATTTTGCATTATTCTGAACTTGAACAAGGATTTGATTCTGCTCAATCACTAGAACAACCAAATGCTTTACTTATCTCGTCTGAGCACAAAATTGACGCTGCTCAGCTGCTGGCTTCAGGTTGGTCCACATAGTTACAGTTTTAACAAATAACTTTCGTATCTTACCATCATATCCAACTAATCTTTATCCTTGTAGAAGAAAGTAGCTCTGGTTCAAAAGCTCGCCTCCGCCTCAGTGATAAGTTTGATGAAGCAGAAACTACTGCCAGTGATGACGTTGAGACTGCTACTAAGAATTCCAACAAGAGGACAAAATTGAGATGAATCAGGAGTTTGGAAACTTTTTTGCCTTTTTCATCTGCACTTCTATATGCAAAACAGCACATTTTTTGTTACTTTTGAATGTGCTACTACTATGTTTGTAAGCCTTTTGCCTTCTCTGCGTGGTGACTTGTCAAACAGCTTTTGCATCACCATCTAACGTCGATGCTTACTTTTGTATCAATGTTCCTGCCAGCGCTCCAAAGATGAACTGCAATCTTTATCTTGGATATCAAGGAGATTTTCATAGAAATCTTTGGATTCCTGGCAAGAAACTTACTTTGTTCATTGTGTCGACTTTAAAATTTATATGATTTTGGAGTGCTTTTCTGTTCCTTTTCATCTTCTTTTATGCAAATGTTGCAATCAATTCTTTAACCGTCCAGCTCTGTATGTACACTTCTTTATTTATTGCACCTACTACCTTCTTTGGGACGTAAAGATTATAAATTCACCTTGTGTTGCTCCTTTCTAGACTGATTCTTTGACTGCATATATGACAGACATGACAAAAGCATGACTATCTATGAATTCCTTGCACGCAATTAAATTTTCCAAGTACAGGGTTGATGTTAGCTTTATATTGTGGTCAGCTG